AAGATTTATTAGATATAATTATTGTATAAAATTTTAATTATTTTAATTAAATATTGCTTATTAAATATGATTAATATTTAGTATGATTTTGGTTGCTATATTTTAAGATAAGTAGTATCAATTATATATATATATATTATTTGTAAAGATAAAATATATATTTATTTATTATATATAAATAATACAAAAAAAATAGATACATATTATAAATTTATTATTCAAAATTTGTTTATAAATTTTGTTATAAATATTTTATGTATTTTTATTAAAAATAATTAAACCAACCACGTTTTCTATACTTTAAATTTTGAAAATGAAAATTGTTTTCTAAAAATAAAAAATAAAAACAAAATATTTTGGAAACCAAACGCAGCCTTATTTCTCTTATAGAGATGGAGAGAGGATAGCAATAGGAGCCTTCATATAATTAAGGGTGCATGATATAGAATATTGGTCCGTTGTAGAGTAGGCACAAAGGGAAAGAAATGGAAAAGTAGACAAAACAAGCTTCCTCCATGAGAGATGCCTCGTTTGGGTTTCTGATTTTTAGACACGCCATTCCAAATGAACTAAGTGCGTGTTTGATTTTCATTTTCAAACGTAATTTTATCTTCTCTCCACGTTCATGTATTCATTTACGGAGAAACTAATATTATTTACTTTTGATGAAATGTGATTTTTCACGTCCAGACTCCAACTCAAACACGCTATAAATGGCTTGAGACATGTCTTCGTTGAAAGAAAAATTATGCCCTTTCCCAGATGTGGCAGAGAAGCATGTCGGTGTACCAACAAAATAATCACGTCATTTACCCTGTCAAAATAACTATAACTACCTCTTTTGTAACTTTTTCTTTTTTCTTTTTTCTTTTACATATGCATCACACTATTACTTACTAGTGCATGGCATCACCCGAGAAGATAAGGATGCGTAGAGAGAAGATGTAGATTCATTCTATTGAGACCTCCCAAGTAGATGTATCATTTACCTACTTCTCTGTACTAGCTTCGACTTAGTATGTGAATCATTGTTACTTTCATTTTCATGGTACGAACATGAGTGTGTTACTTCCATTGAAACTAAATAAAAAACAAGATTAGTGTCAGCATCGTCCTGAGTGGGAGACTCTCAACCTGCACTTAACGCATATCAATTTCAAATGGAAGAAGACAATAAAATAAGGATAGTATGTATGAACGGAACACATGATTGTGTCATTTATGTCACCCATTAATTACGGACGATATATGTTGTCGGGATTGAATATCTCAAATGCAGTTTGAGTTGAACTTAATTAATTTGCACAAAATATTGATAAACCAGTGCCTGCTCAATGTGTAACTGTGTAAGAAGATTCATATCTAGTCACTATTTGATTCGAAACAACATTAGAATCTTACAGCCTGTTTTATACAAGTTTAAAAGTTTTATTGAAATTTTTTATATAAAAAAAAAAGTTGTTTTTTTGGTAAATTTTTTTCCAAAAATACTTCTATCATGTATCCAAACATGCTCTTAAAATAAGTTATACATCTAATATTGTTGACCTTAACATAGACATTAAATTGACACTAATATAAGTTTTTCTATTCGACACTACAATATTTTACTTCTTAAGTAATATTTAATTACTTACACTTATTAAAATATTATTATAGATTGAGTAAATAAGTTATTTTACAATATTTTTTCTAAAAAATATTATTATAGGTAGAGTAATTTTTTTTTATCTCAATATTATCTTTTCTAATTATTTCTAAAATTAAAGTTTAAACGAAATGACACATAAATAATATACATATAATCATATAGTGATATTTAAGATAAATGAACTTTGATATTTGATATAGATTCGGTAACTAATTAAGGATGTTTTCTACCTTAAAGAACTTGTAGGAGGTTAATAGTCATAAAGTATAAATGATAACATCTATATTAAAACTAATCAATATTAATTTTATAAAGTTAATTAAAATTTAACATTATTAAAATATTACAAAAATATTGTCTAATTATATAAAAAAATTTAGTAAAAGACTTTAGCAACATAAATTATATACAACATTTGATAATATATTGTAAAAATAAATTAACAACATTTATACACAATTTGGTAATATTTTTCAAATGTTGTCAAACACTCTTTTTGTTATAATAAGAGTCAACAACATAAATATGTGAATGTAGTTAACAAACATATATAAGTATTATTTTATAAAACCATTAATGTAAACTATGTGAGAAAGTTGGGAGGAATTGATAAAAGGCTAGCATTTGTTACTATCCTAATTATATTAGTTTGATTGTTTTACTTATATATTTATACTATATATATGTATGTTATGTTTTCTTCCTTAAATTTTGTACATTTTAATAATATAATTTTTACTGCTAGTAGTGATTCTGTTAAGTATAGCGAACATAATAAATCCTTAGAGTATAAGTATAGTTAATCTTAACCATATATTAAAATGAATGATAAAAAATAAAATTAAGTAAAATATTAATCAATCATGTATAATTGTATAAGCAAAATTTAATTCTCTCACATTCTCACCGCATAAGTTATGAAATTCAAATGATAAAAGAGGAGCGAAGTTAAGAAGTTATAAATTAGGACATGTTTGTTTTTCAATTGAGAAGGATTGTATAACACATGCATATGCTATGATGGAGGGTTTTGTAATATAACATAGCGATGAATTTTGCGAGGGAATGTCCACAAACTAATGTCATCCCATTTAATATAATTAATTTCAAGCTATTAAATATTATTAAAGTATATACTACAATTAATATCAATCATAAATTTTACGTCAATACGGCAGGAAGTTAATTTAACATTAGAATAAATGGGGTAATAAACACGCAAATTAAAGAGAAATAAAAATATTGGAAGGCAATAACTACTGGCAAAGGAAATCACTATTTATAATAACTACACTTAAAAAAATATTTCTTTTAGACGCTTACGAAACTAAAATAAATACTAAAATTGATATCAACTAGTATCTTAATTTAAGTAATGGACATTATATATGTTTATTTTATAACTTATTTACAATAAATAAATTCTTTTAAATATAAAGTATTATAATTAATTTTGTAATAAAAAACATTTTTGAACAGGTAAATTATAATAAATTTTATATTATAATATAAGAGTATTTTTAATTATTATATAAGATTTATTTTAATTATTGACAAAAATATTAAATTTTAATATAAATTTGAAAACCAACTAAAAATATTCTTATCAAATTGTACGATATAATTATGAGTAGAATCCGTTCACATCAAATGTCAAAATAATGATATTATATGTATGATTATATATATATATATATATGTATATATATATATATATATCAAATTTTACTTGATTTAAAAATTTTAAATATATTATTTAATAATAGATATTTACATATATTTTGAATATTATATTATACATTAACATAAAATGATGTGATAAATTACTAAATACATTTTGAATTATATCAAAATTTGTATATTTGATCTAATTAATAAGAATATCAAATGTAATTGTTAGATTGATTAAATTGCATTCTAAGAAAATTATTGAAAATCTAATTTCACCAAGACACTTGTTTCTATATATATATATATAAAATGTGTAATGAAATGTGATATGATCGATTTTTAAATTTTTAAAAAATTTGTGAATTTGATCTTTATATTAATTTTTTTTTAAAATTTAACAGTTAAACTACTGAAATTTGTTATAAAATATAAATGATTGAACGAAATAAGTGAATTAATATATATATATATATATATATATATATATAATTCAATAATATATGTTTTATATCAAATTTCAAAAATTCAATTATTGAATTAAAAAATTTTAATACATAAATCAAATTTATAATTTTTTTTATAAAAATTTATATGATATTTCATTTTATAGATTTAAAGTGACGTATAAAATATTTTTATGATTATTCACCAATTAAAATTAATGAAACGAAATATCAAATAATTATCAATTTTTTAAAAAATTTATAAATTTGATTTATATATTAAATTTTTTTAATTTAACAATTAGATCGTTAAAATATGATGTAGAATATAGAGTAAATTTACTAAAACTTACTATTATAATAGGTAAATTCTTTTATAGAGAGAATAATAAATTTTAGATGTAGAATATTAATTTTATCATTAAAATAAATGGGATAATAAATATACAGATAGACGAGAAATAAAAAAATTGGAAAGACAATATCTGCTAACAAAAGAAATCAATATTTATAATAAATGCATTTAAAACAAAATATTTCTTTTAGACGTTTACGAGACAAAAAGACGTAAATGTGATTTAAGAAAGAGAGAGTATAAGTACAGTTAATCTTGACCATATAATTTAAATGAACGGTTAAAATTATAACTAAGTAAAACAATATTGATCATTCACGTACTTGTAAAACCAAAATTTACTCCTCTCATGTTCTCACTCCATAGCTTGTGTGATTCAAATGGTAGAAGAGAAAAGATAGTGGATAAATATGTTAAAACTAATTAAGTTATGACATTGTATGTTCAAAAATTAAAATATGTCATTCTTGAATGTATAGTTGATTTTAATTCTAAATTTAAAACTTGAATATTAAATTATTTTACTTAATAATTCATGTTTTACATTAAATTTTAAAAAATTAATTTTAAATTAAAGATTTTTATTACATAAATTAAGTTTATAAGTTTTTTAAAAAATTATAAAATATTTAATATTTTATTTCATTAATTCAAATTGACAAATAAGTATAAAAATATTTTATACATTAATTTAAATTTATATATCAAAATATTATATGATTTTTAATTTTTTTAAGAATTTACAAACTTAATTTATATATTAAGAATTTTTAATTTAACATTTAGATCATTCAATTTTGATATTAAATATGAGTTATTGAGTGAGATAAGTCTATCGAGACATAGTTTTAGAGTAAAAGAATTCATCCTCTCTCACACACATCATAGTTTTTTTTAAAGAAGGTCCGTGCTTCCAACTAGCACCTCACGCCTCTACTCAACACTTTCAACAATAACACCACCATAAAGAACCTGAGAATTTGAAATAAGAGAATAAAAAATGAGGAGAAAATGAAAGTGTTAAGGGAAAGGAAGAAGAAGAACCGCAAATCATACAAAAACAATCTTATTCAAGTCAGATAAAATCGGTATAAATGACAAAACTTTCTTTTCAAATTAAATCTCTAAATAAAATGAAAGAAAAAAGAAAATTAGTTTCACAAACTCAATTTATAGAGTTAATCCAAACCCACTCTTACAAATTTACTTTATTATTTTATAAATAAATAAATTAATGAAAAAAAAAAGAGTTTCTTATATATAAGAAACTTTGGCACCATATTGGATCTCCAGAAAAACAATAGGCTGCCCTCTTTCTTTCCTTTAGAAAGCTCAATTTCCCATAGGCATCAGACACAAATAGAGAAACCAGAGAGAGTCACATGAAATGGCGACAACCACAAAAGAGGTTCATGTTGAGGGAGAGTACATTGCCATAGAACCAAGATCTTCCCCCAACATCAACATCTTCTCTTGTTCCATCAACAGAGAATTCGAGTTCCAAAACAAGAAAGAGTCCACCACAACCTCACCAGCAGATGAACTCTTCTACAAAGGAAAACTCCTTCCTCTCCACCTCCCTCCACGCCTCCAAATGGTTGAAAAGCTTCTCCAAAACACTGATTCAACTTTTGGCTATGCAAGATCACAGTCATCATTGGAAGACAGTAGATTCCGCCACACGATGCTTTCAGCAAATGCCACCTCACCCTCGGAATCACGCAGGGTTAGTACCTGCGAATCGCTCCCACCTGATTGGTCCTCTGAAATAGAAGGCTTGGTTAGTGACAAACATGCTTCGAAGAAACAACAATGGTCCAAGAATCTCAAACAGACCAAGCAGTTCTGGCTAGGAGAGAAGCTCAAGGCTTCCAAGGCTTACTTAAAATCCTTGTTCACCAAATCTGGTTGCTCCAGCGATGCAAGCAAAGTGGTGGCGGTGAAGAAACCCAAATGCAAGGAGTGCCATGACAAGTACACGAAGGATGATGATGATGCTACCAAAAACCAAAACCAAAACCAAAACAAAACCAAAAAGAAAATAAAAAATGAGTCTTTTGGTGACAAGCAGCACCGGAGGCAGAGATCCTGTGCGGTGAAGAGCAGTGACGTCTTTGAAAATGGGTCCGTTAGCTTTAGCAGAAGGTCTTTCTCTGGGGTGATTCAACGACATTATGCTTCAAAGGCTTCATCTTTGTCCACTTCTTCTTCTGGGTCGTCTTCTTTGTCTTCATCTTTTTCACTTAGCTCAGTTGGGTCTTATGAGTTGCATTTGTTCAACAAGAGTATCAGTGCTGAGCTGGAGAATTCAATTGAGAGTGCCATTGCTTATTGTAAAAAGTCCCAGCAAGAGGGTAGTTCAAATTCAAACAAGGTTTGTGGAAATAAGGGAATAATAATGGGGAGTGAGAGAGTGGTGACTGAAAAGAATGAGTCTCTTATTTGAGATGCAATTTTATGTTGAGGGGATTTGATGCTGAGTTAACAGCTTGGTTTTGCAGGATTAATTGTTGAAAGTCTCTGTCAATTCTTGCACATGTTGCATACCGAGTGGAATTGAATATTTTTAGCAGTAAGTGACCATTGTTATAATTAATCCAGGGGAATGTAATGTAATTCACTCGAGAGAAAGTGACTTTTAATTTTTTTAAATAATGAATACTTATGATAAGTCGTCATGAGATTTCTCTATGACAAAGCGCCATGATAGGACACTGTTGTTGTTGTTGTCTTTTTAAATTTGAAATTGGTCCACACACATGTTAATTGAACCCTCCTGTGCAAACTCCACGAGATTTGTGGATTTGATTGTTTAACAAATAGCAATTAACATTGTGATTTGTGACATTTCCGAATCTCACAATTTGACTTGATAATAAGGCTTCCCTTCCGAACATTGTATATGATAAATTAACTAGTTAACTGTACACAAAGGCAGATAATTTCTTCACAATTAATTTTCTAAGTTTGGTTCAGTGTAAAAAGTAAAATTTTATGGCAACTGCCAAGTCTAATGGTTTGGAATCTGACTCTTTTCCCCAGAAGGCAGAACTAGATTCTCAATGACTGCTTCAGGCTTTCTCTGCAATTATTCTTTCAGAGTTCAACAGAGATAACTGATAGGATGTGGTAGTGCATAAAAATGTTGGATGCCATATTTTTGTTCCTGATCCTTTCTTGTGTCAAAAGAAGGGGGGGAAAGTTGAAAGTCATTTAGAATAACCTAACAGTGACCCAAAAAAGGTTACTAACAGCCATTCACCTTTTTAGATGAAGAAAAAGCCTAAAAAGTGGCAAAGAGTAGTCTCATCTGTGAGATGTGAAAATCATGGTACATTTGGTGCCTGTGACCTTTTCTTCGCCGACTTAACCCTTTTTGAAAATAATCATGATTACTAGCAACGAATCCCCAACCAAGCACCATAGTTGACTGCAGAGTACAGCTATAAATTGGTGCAATTGTATATCCTTGATGCAATTACCAAAGTGTAATAGTAAGTAACTGACAAATTATGATCACAGGATGGGTTTTCCTTCAATTTTAGAAGAAATGAAAAACTATTCACAATTTCATTCTGTAAAGGGTAAAGCCCCCACCACACACACCCACAACTTGCCATTGCGGGGCATGTATTATGCAGATGTCACATTAAAAATACTAAAGAGAAAAAACGTAGCGTACAATTATTCTGCAGACAATTAAACCTTTTTCGCGTGCACTTCTTCCGTTCTTCGTTTCTTTTGGTTTTGACTAAGCATTAAACTACGCAAACATGAAACTGAATCACATGCGCGGAGAACTCGAAGTTGCACCTATACGTGAATGTTGTAGTGTAGTACCGATTAGACAAACACATATAACAAAACACAAAGAAACAAGCAATTATTTTTCCCCAATGGATAAAGTTAATTGAGTTGATATACTCTTTCTTTTTCATGATAAATTTTTAAAGAATCTTTGCGAAAAGCTATAACTGTTCAAACCTCTAACATGCTGTAATATCTCTGACTCCACCATAAAGCCACTCTCTATTCCAACGTAGAACTGTCCCAAAAGGTAAATGCTTACTAAATTAAATATAGAAACAAAGGTACATTATAGTACAGCCTCGATGTTCAACTAAATTCATGTGTGATGTACTTCGTAGGAATGCAAGTGAATATTTTTGTGCCCATATTTAACGTAAAACCTCTCAAATTTGTATTACATGTTTAATGTCTAATAATTAATATCACAAGCTTATACACTATATAGGATCAAAATATGAAATATGCCACATAACTATATATGGCTGCACCTAATCACGCAGGTTAATTAGTTATTGACGTAATCAATCATAAGCATGCAATTTTTTCCTTATTATATTATTTTCATGCACAATTCACTCCGTTTTAAAGTTAACAATTAGAGGCATTTACATGCAGATTCTGAGAAGTGATTTGTTGTTTTCTTTTCATCTTTTAATAATTCCAAGGGTCCCCCGGCAATGTAAGAAGAAGAAGAAAGCACCAACCGAACAGATCTTCGTGGGTGTCAAGGATATCATACAAGAGTTGCAACTTGCAATAGTCACGTCAAATTGTCAAGCCATTTGCAAGTGTTGATTGGTGTCCCTCCTATGAAAATATTGCTTCCCATAAACAAATAATCCTGACTCGAGAATCATGAACAAAGTCAAAGAAATAAACCTTTCCTTGCTCTGGCGGTTATTATGTTCCTCGTACACGACAATATGTAGGAATGCATTATTAGCCCTTCATTTTGCATTTATCGATCCTGTTGCGTCAAACTAGCTACAAATAGCAATGTAAGCTTTCATTTTGGTACGCTAATTTGAACACAAAACTAATGATACAAGACAGGAAACATTATATTAAGATGATTCTTTGAAGAAAAAATATCCTCCTACCAAACCTTCAAATCTGTGTTATATCCAATAAACATTGTTCCCAATTGGGCTTGAGTCCAACCCATTTTGTATCCTTGTCGACCCTAAATGTACTTAGCAAAGTTGACCAAATACACACCAAATTATGAACCAAATTTTACAAATGATGTACTACATAACCCCTTTTTTAATGTATACGTCTCTCTTCTTCTTAACTTTTTTTAAATATTATTTTTATTTTTTATTTTCAAAATTATATTTTTTTTGTTCACCTCCTTCCCGGCTACTTTATCTCTTTCCAATTACTCCTTGTTAATTCTTCTTTGTATTTTCTTTTTTTGATTTCTTTCTCTAACAATAAAGACACTCACACCTCACATTTATTATTCTATTATTCTATTATTCTTAATCCTATTGTTACGCTCTCAATTTCATTATTCTTTAAATCCTATTTTTCCACTTCGTCTTCATTATACCCTACATTAGGTATTAGGTATAAATTAATGTGATAATATACATTTCCCCTCAATAATTCTTTATGGTTGTTTTAATACAACTTATATGCAATAAGGATGAACTATCGGGTCGATTTAGTGATAAAAGAGTTGAGATAAAATATACATGATTCTAAATTTTGAACCTTACTGTTGTTATTATAATTCCTATCAATAATAAAATATGTAATAATGATTGACATCTTTAGTAATTAGACACATGAAAAAGAAGTTTGTGGGTTCTTTTTGAAGACATCCATGTTGATTTTTCAAGATACAATCGTTGTTGAATTTATCATGGTCATCAAAATTTTATAAAACTTTTTTGTATCATGTAAAAAAAATTGTAAAAAATAGGAGGACATGACCGCCCTTTCTACTTAGCGGTGTAAGTAGGTCAAGATGGACTCATGAACTTGACTTTTACTTGACACACAAGTCAATTACAGATTGAGTTGGATTATTGAGTTCTAGTAGACTTTTATTTACCCATTTATAATTGAGGTGGATATCATATTAAGAATTTATAATCCGATTAATCCGACCTAAATTTAATAATAAAAGATATATCAATTAATACTTAAGTTAATAATCAAAGAATAATTTCATTTCATAATCATCTCTTCAATTTTAATTTGTTAATTTTTATTATGTAATTCAAAATAATTGTTATTGTCTTAGTGTTTGCTTGTTTATGATATATTATTGATTTTTTTTCTTATAAAACAACATGGGTGACAAAAAAAAAACAAGAAAAAAGAGCAACTTGAGTATTTCGGAAAAAGGCAACATCATGTAATTAATAATATACACAAGTATTTCCACCATGTCCTATAGAAAAAAGAAGAAAAAGAAAAAACTCACCACAGAAGAGATTTAAGTGGAGACTCAATGCAATATTTTACAAGTATTAGGACACATCAAGAAAATATGTACATCTCACCAGCAATAAAAGAAGATAAGATTGTTGAAAATCAACGATAAGAAGAGGCTCATTTGCAATGTCGTGCTTTACCAATAAATCTACAAAAGTTTAACTTATTATTAGTGATTATACAGAACAAACAACTTATGATTGAAATCTCTCTAAAGAGTTCAATAAAATTATTATTTTCAAAGTTAGAATTGCAAGTGTGGCACATGTTGCAATAAAGACAAAGTCAAAGGAATATTTACAATTAAAAGGCACATATATATTTGAATTAATCTTTGATGTGTTATGTGTTCCTAAATTAATCAAAAACTTTTACCAAAAAAAAAGTTAATCAAAATATTTTCGGTATTTCTTAATTAATGAAGAAAGGTTATAAAATGTTATTCAAACATTAAAAATGATCTTTTAAGCATTTCATATATATCACACAAAGGAAGTATGCAACCTTTAGATTTTTTTATTTACGTTAAAGATATTTTGTAACTAACTGGTTATTTGTTGTTTTCTTTTCATCTTGTAGATTTGTATTCCAAGGATCCCGGCAGTGTAAGAAGAAGAAGAAAGCACCAACCTAATTAACACATATTAGCTATCATCAAAGAGTTGCAACTTGCGTTAGTCACATCAAATTGTCAAGCCATTTGCTTGTGTTGATTGGTGTCCCTCCTATGAAAATATTGCTTCACCTAAACAAATCCCGATTCCAGAGAATTTCCAACTAACAAATAAACCTTTCCATTCTCTAGTGGTAATAATGTTCCTCGTACACGACAATAACACTGCATTATTAGCACTTCATGTAGAAAACATTGTATTAGGAGTTAAAATGTGCATGCATAACACGACAAGAAATATAGTTCAATGATAATAATATTGACCAACAGTATTACAAGCACACGTATCAGTAAATATTGATCATATCCTTGTGACCCTTTCAAAAGAAAAATATGAAGGTGGCACTGTTGGGTCCAGTGACCAAGTGGAACACGTGAGTAATGTCAGCGGATATTCAAGACTTGAAAATCATTTTCTTGTGAGTAGTTAGGACTGAAATCTTCTCCTAGTATATTGTCATATACTATATATTTTTTTTTATTCTTCTCTTTTGAATGTTTACTGTTGAAAAATTAGCAAAGTTACATTTCTTTTTCCCTCGTAACTTTTTCCACGATCTGTCCCCAATATATATATCGAGTTGACGCTAACACACTTCACATCAGCTTCTCATAACACTGAATGAATGCTGTCTCTTTTTTCCTTCTCATAACACAATGCAAATTGTAATAGATTTACATCGATGGAGACGTTAAATAGAACAAAAATATAATTTGGCATTTAGGCACTTACATTCGAATGTTCGAACTTTGAACTTCAGATTATAATTTCTCTCTCCCCCTCATTATTGCATCGGTTACAAATATTACCACTGACAAATAGTACATTCCAACTAATAAACGCAAATAAATTAAATAAAATCAAGACTGAGCTTTCGACAAGAAATGACACTGGTTTTTTCATGGACCATGTGCCAGAAGGTCGTTTTGGAAATGTTTTCCCTCATTTTCACCAAACATTCTTAGAAGGAAAGAAATTTTAACATAAATATATTAAGAAAGTTGCGAGTCTTGTCTCCGTATTATGTTATTTCCTAAATCATATAAAGCTGCTACACATTAACTCAGTAAAGTGGTATATATGTCAGTCATTGGCACTTGCCACTTTCTGTTTACTTTCTACTTTTTATTCTTTCGATTAATATATTTACAGACGTCCAAACTAAGTAATCGACTTCATAACTTTTCCTATATATAATCGAGGGTAGTTTTATTTATAGCATAAAAGTGATAGCATAAGTAAAAATCTAACTGAGAAGGAAAAAAATTGAAATTTCCACGTAAATTTGTTTGTAAACGTGAAAAAAAAAAAGAAAAATTATATTTATAAATCGAAGTGAAACACGCACTTAGAATATGTCTGATTTTCAGTTACGTAACCTAAAAGTAATACATCACTTATTTTAATTTTTTTTTATTAAAAAGTGAAAAAAGCCTGTTTAACTAGTTTTGAATAAATTTCTAAACACACATTTAGCCAGTAAAATTATATCTTTTATCATAATAAATTGAATATATCTTTATTATTTAGTTTATTTTTTAAAGAATTATTTGTTTGTGATCTAAGATTTCTAAATTATCTTGATAAATGATGCTCATAATAATAATATATCATTTTGAAGTTTCATTAGCGAAACCCATAAATTTAATAATGGGTAAATTAATTATAGACTGATTGGCATGGAAGTAATTAACCTTAAATTGATCGATTATGAGTTTAAAATAATACTTCACAATCTTTCAATTTTAAGCTTTATAGTGATTAAAAGTTAAAAATGTATATGTTAAATTGATCAATCATGGGTTAAAGATGATCCAATAATAATGACAAATAAAAATAATTAAAATATTATTTGAAATGACTAAGATGCTCAATCAAAGTGGATCTCACTATCTTCCTTCCTCCCTTTCTTTCTTTCTGTTTTTTTGGTAGAAGAGATTGATCTCTTATTAGATGTTAAGATAATTAATATTCTCTTCTAAAACAAATATTCATATAACCAGTTGACAAAGAACTAATAGTTACTCATTAAGTTTATATTTGGTAAAGAGGAAAGGAATAGGTGAGAAATAGAATTGAAAATAAAAATAAAAAGTGAAGAAAAATAGGTGAGAAATAAAATAAAAATTTGGTTGTTTAATTAAAGAGAAATAAGTGAGAAATGTGGAAGAAATAAAGTATATATAAAAGAGATGAAAGATAAATAAATAAAAAGATGGGACTCATCACCTTTTAATTTATCTCCTCTCTATTTCTCCTCAACCAAGCAATCCCTCTCATTTTTACTCTCTTATTTCCACTCTCTTCATCTTATTTCTTATCCATTTCTTCTCTACCAAATAAAATGTAAGTGCAAAATTAGCGCAGACAATAATCATTCATCTAAATAAAAAATATATATATATATATATATATATATATATATATATATATATAACTTAAAGAAAGAGTAAGTTTGTACTATAATATTTATTTTCCAATGAAGCTAATGTTAAAATAAGCACGATCCAATACACTCTCAGTGTGTTTGGTTACACTTTCGTAACGTACACGTTAACAATTTTTCACATCCAATTCATAAAAATGACATAGCATGTTTGGAAAGTCGTTCAAGAGTGAAAAAAAAAAAAAAAAAAAGGTTTGGGATGTGGAAGTTGTTACTATTAACGTATAAAAATCACATCCATGATGCGGAAAATCACATCTGCAACACGAAACCAAACACTTAAAGAAGTTTTTATAACTTGCTTCACCGAAGTGCGTGCGACAATGAAGAGCAACCAAACACTGTCAATTAAAAAAGACACATTTACTTATCAAGTGGACTATGATTACTTGCTTTTGTTGATGTTTGTTATACTAAGAAACAAAAGCCTAGTAGCCTACATCTATGTTAGTACAAAAAAGTAGAGTAGTAAAAATTATATTGCGTACACTGTCTTATTATACTCATTCTCGGAACCTGACATCATTGACAAAGACAATGATTGCCTACTGCTCATTGTTGTCCTAAGACTTCGCAATCTTGAGGCCTCAAGTCGGTGAGCAATCACCCAATAACAGAGTGTTCCTAAAGTAGCTGCCATAATCACTGTTCCTAGAGCTGTGGCTGCTATAGCCAACTCTTTATGATCCCCAACAATTATGTATGACATTGCAATAAATGCCACAGAAATTAGCACACAGGCAACCCACATCAACTTATTTATAATTGCCATCATTTGTCTCTTGGCTTTCCTCTCAATAACAACCACAGATGTTTGGACAATCACAACAGCCAATGATATGAAGAGGGCAGTAGAATCAAAGATTATGAATATCAGGAATCCAATATCATGAGCAATGTATGCTTCCCCAGGAGACATTTTAGGAGAGAGATCATTTAGCTTCTCAGGATACTGGCCTGGGATGTTAAATATGGCAGCAAAAGCAACTGTTGCAATAAGGACTGCAACAACAATGTTGGAGTTGATTGCATTGTTAAGCCCCTCAGTGTGCATTTTGTTAATTCGTTTTGCTATACCTTGCATGCGTCTTTGTGTTTTAAATGTGTGTTCCAGCTGATTATGAACCCCACTTTTTATGTCACTCACTGTTCGTTTCAGTTCAAGGGCTGTGTTTGTCGTAGGTGACTTGATGGACTTGGCACCTTGAGCTCCACGATGCTGCAGAAAATTGGCGATGTCCAAGCGACCATTTTTCTCTGCAGTATCTAAAGCTGTTTCTCCAGATTTGTTAATAACATCTGTGTCTATTTCCCTGCAATCTAGTAGCTTCTGAACAACCTGCAAGATTAGCACAAAAATATTAAGCCTGCTTACTATGATTCGAAATTGTTTATGCTATCGATTCAAAGTTCAAACAGAAGTTAAGCTAGTACTAATGTAAATTGTTTAGGATATTAAAATGTTCAGCTACTACAAGCATCGAATAACACTCATTTACCAAAAATCATTAGCACAAATGGTTTCCCACTTGTGTTCCTTAATCAAATATCGAAATTTGTTTTCTACCTTACATATGAAATCATGACTGAAGGTGCTATTTTACTTTTATAAGGATCAATTTAGCGAAAACAGTTATATCTCTTTATCAAATCAAATAATAATAACACTCATTTACCAAATATCATTATCACAAATGATTTGACACTTGTGTTCCTTAATCAAATATCGAAATTTGTTTTCTACCTTACATATGAAATCATGACTGAAGGTACTATTTTACTTTTATAAGGATGGATTCGGTGAAAAGAGTTATATCTCTTTAGCAAATCAAAAAATAATAACACTCATTTACCATATGACAAGTGACAACAATTATCTTTGCAGTTACGACACTAGTGACACAGTGCATAGCCACCACAAGCACCAAATAGGCAAATAGGTTTAAGTTTTGAAGTTCGTTTCTCTTATATCAACCAGGACACAACACAAACATTTACAGATATTTTTGAAACAATCTACTATTTCAATTTTAACTACTTAACGATATGATAGAAATATGCTAATTGTTAATCAATTTTATTATGTTAGTAAAAGCAGACCCTTTCTGAAGTATCACAGAAACATAGTATTCTTGAGCTAATAAAGAATTTTAGTTTGTAGTTCATGGTCTTGGATGATGAAGAACTCTGGAATCTAATGTCTAGAACGAAAAGTACAACTTCAGTTGATGTAGAACAATACATCATTAGTACTTTCTTGAGGGAAAAAACAAAAAAGGAAAGCATTCCTTTTACCTGTAAACGACCCTTCCGGGTTGCTATATGGAGTGCAGTATTTCCCTTGGCATCCACCATATTAACCAAAGATGGATTCGGTTTCACAAGCTCATCCACTAACTCAAGATTCTGTCCTTTAACTGCCATATGGAGTGCTGTCTGCCCCTTTTTATCAATTCTCATTGCAATTTCAGGTTCTTTGCTCAGAAGTGCACTGACAACCTCCACATGGCCGTTTCTTGCAGCAGAATGCAACACAGTTTTCCCATTGCTTTTTGCAATAGTTACCAGACTGCTACCTTTTTCCAAGAGAAAATTTACAACTTCAATGTGCCCTTGTGCTGCAGCAGTATGCAATGCAGTAGTGTTTGACAGATCAACGGTCATTGAAATTTCAGGAATGGCCTCCATGAGGACCTTTAATATTTCTGCAAACCAGTAAAAGTGAAAACCACTCAGACAATTTCCAAAGGTTAAATATATAATAAAATTATATACAGATGATCAATAAATAAATTGGCAACCTAAAAAAGCTAACAGACAAAAAGATTCTGGCAAATTTGAAAAAAAAAAAGAAAAAAACTCAAATCATAGAGAAAAAAATACTTATCGCTGGGTATCAAGTCAATGCATAACCAAAAGGACAGTTTATTTTTGAAGGACTAATAGTAAACATTTTCTTACTTGCAAAGATTAAAAACATATTTATCCCTTTTAAATTAGTATAAAATTACGGGTATGCTCAAATGAGTTTGACAAACACACTAATCACATAGTATAGCAATGTCATGTGGACCAAGATAAAATACGCAGTAACTATTCTACACCTTCCCACCCATTTGAGGACATTGAAGAGACTTACCCAAGTTTCCATTTTTAGCAGCAATGTGGAATGCATCGAATCCATTTCTAGCTTTGGAGCTGGCCAACCCAATATCATGATATCTAATCAATTCCTTCATTATATCAAGATGACCATTTTCAGCAGCAACATACAGGGCAGTTTCACAAGAGTTGTTTCCCTTTGAAAGCAACTCCTTCAATTCTTCCTCTGGACTCTGAGAGATGATTTCCAGAACCAAATCCAAATTTCCACCTCGGATTGCCGATTGTAAGGGAGAATCACCCCTTATACCTGTCAGTTGTTTCTTCATCATCTTTGGAGTGTATCTTAACTACTTTGATGGGGCTCCAACTAATCAAATTTACATTTCCTAAAGTTGCAAGAACCGATTGTCTCGCACTGTATCAATTCACCAAGCAATATCGGCAAGGTGATTCAAAATTGTACACTACAGTAAGCAATAGGAACATGTGTCTTCCTGCTTTTGATAGCTACATAGGGAGAGCCAAAAAAAAAAAAAAAAAAAAAAACCGGGTAAGTAAGCAATAGGAACCAAAATGATTCAAAGCAACAATTTTTTTAGGGGGGGAGGCAGTATCGATTCAACAAATCTATAATATTATGAAAGAATTGAACTTGTTCATTTGAAACAAAAAAGAAAATAAATTCAATAAATGGGTAAGCAATAATTGATTGAAGTGAAAAGAAAAGAAGAACTAACCAATTGATGAATAAGACACATGATAGGTTGTGGTTTCTTTCTGTGCTCCTCTTTCTAAGACATCTAGAAAGTAGTATTAATAAGAAAAGTCCAAAAAGGGAAGTTGGAGAAGCGAAGGTGTGAAAAGGCAGAGTAACCTTTGCGGTTGAAGAAGAGATTGGAAGTAAGAGGTGAAGAAGAAGAATGAATGAATGAAGAGAAGTGCAGCAAACGCGGAAAACAAAATGCACGACTTGAGTTAGGTTAGGTCTCTAATAACTTGATTGATTGCTTTGTCTCTGGTGAACGTGGGTTTTAAGTTTTTCTCCATTGATTTTCTTATGTCTATGTATCATGTATTAATAATAGATGATGCATTTTGAATAAATTTAGATAAATCTGATATCGTATTAAAATATGAATTTAAATTTAAGTTAATTTTATAAAATTAGTTTATAAAATTAAAATTATATATTTTTTAACTATTTTATTTTTAGTTCATATATGATTTACATTTTTTTTAAATATATCACTCACATCTAACATTATTAATGATGAATGAATTTTTTAATGATATAAAATTGGTTGGACTTGAATTTTTGTCTAGGAAGGTGGTGTTCAATGTTGACTGCCATTTTCCACTCAATAGGGACACCATGACGTTTGCACTCTTTTCTTCCTTTTGCTATCCTCTATGTGGTATGTGCTCAACTTCACATTGCATGTATCATTCCTTTTTTCTTTTAGACTTAAAAAATAAATCCTAATTTAATCTTTCTAATTTAATAAATTTTCCTATCTGCTTCCTCTTTTTTTCCTTTAAGACTTCAAAAAAATTTCCTATTTTAATATTTCTATCTTAAAATTATGTCTATAATCATATTTTGTCTTTTTCTATTTTAATCTTTCTAATTTTCCTATTTCAATGCTTATGGCTCACAGTCGTTTGTTTATACTTTATACAAATAACGTTAAGCTACATAATTAGTAATTTAGTATAAATAAAAACAAATAAACCATTGCATACTTCTTTTATTTATAAAAAAGGTTTAAAATATTTTTTTTCTATAGTTTCATTTATTTTATTTTTTTAATATTTATAGCTTAAAATAGATATTTTTAATATTTATATTTATTTTTTAAAAAAAAAATTAGTCTCTATAATTTAAAAATATTTTTTAGTTTCTATATTTGTAATGTTTTTTATTATTTTAATTTCTATTATTTTTTTTTTTATAATTTTATCTCTTTTTTTTTTACTTAATTGATATATTAATTCAATTTTGTATTCTTTCTGTCTAATTTTGAATTTATTTTGATAAAATTATTTTAAATTAGATCTTTTAATATTTTGTGCTTCTTTTATATTCTCACATACAATTCCTATGGTTGAGAAATCATTTTTTCACCCTCATAAAATTAAAGACTTATTTTACGTCAATATAAAATAGATAATAATAAAAAAATTAATGATAAAATCTAAAAAAATTAAAAAATTACAAGTATATATAGAGACTAAAAAAAATACATCTTAAACTATAGGAATTAAAAAATATGAATATAAAAACTAAAAAGATCTATTTTAAACTATAAACTAAATGATAAAATAAGTAAAATTATAATAAAAAAAATATTTTAATCAATTAAAAATTATAATGACAATATCAAAGCTCAAATAGAATTTGTATTATTATCTTTTTTTATCAGTAGATGAATTCTAATAATTTACCATTGTATATTCATGAATACTCATATTATTTAAATAATTATTAAAGGGTTAAATATTTATCAATTTAACTTTAAAATTGATGTACTTTAGTAAAATTTGGAGAGTTTTAAAAAATAACATCTAAAAGAATATTATTTAGTATGATTTTTAATATTTATAAGATTACTAAGTAGTTTTAAGAATTATTTAAGAGAGAAAATAATAATGTTCGAATTTGATCCTGAGAGAAATAATCTTTCGCACTCTATTTAACTATCGACTAAGGTGCATTAGTTTAAAGTGCAGCCTTATGACATCAGTGTAAAACGGAAAAGAAAAAAAAATTGAAACGGTGGTTTGCTCAAACAAAAATGATTCAAAATAACAACTGTTAGTCTAAGGCTTGAAGAAAAATATATAAAAAGGGTAGAAAATATAAATAATATAATAAGAAAATATAATGTAATGATAAAAGAAATAGGTAAATAAAAAATAAATTATATGTATTTTAAATAAATATAAATATTACACTTTAACGATTTATCTCTTGATACACATATTTAATTATTATCTTAAAAAATATTATGAATTTTTTTAAAATGATTATATACTTAAAATAAATATTTTTAGTTATTATTTTCACAAAAACATTTTTAAAAAAAGTTAGCAAAATAAAAATAATATATATAATGTGCTATTTTTATAAGTATTTCAATAAAATAATATTTTTATTATATGATATTAATTATATATATTAAAGGTAATATATAAATATTAAAGTATTAATTACTTAATTGGTTTGATGTTATAAATAAAATATCTTAATAAATATCTAAATTGGTGCTTCAACATAAAATATTATTTATCATATTTAATAATTATGATATAAAAAATATGTATATTAAACATATATTTTTTAAGAACGAATTTATTTGTGTTAATTATATATATATATATATTATATATCATATATAAGCATACATGTATAATTTTTTTATAATTTTTATTTTATTTATCATTTAATAAAATATTTTAAATTTAAGTATATATTATATTTTTTTATCAAGTGAATAAATGATAATGAACGAAAAATATTTTACCATATATTTTAACCAAAAATACATTTTATAATATTATAATGAATACTTTTTAAGATGTTAAGTTAAATATTTTAAATTATATATCAATATAATAGGAGCATAATGGTACAATACTTATATATCTAAGGAATAAAAATGTAATTTATTATATATTTTAAGATATAAAGGAGATAATGCAATACATCTCTCATAGAAGAAGAAAATAATTTATATTAAAGATGTTAAGTTAAATAAATTAAATTATATATTTTAATATAAGAGCGAAAATAGTGTAAGAAATAAAAAATAATAACATAATTTACTCTTTATACGACAAAATATCATTACTTATTAAGGATGTAATAAAAATTATTATCCGCAAATTTTCTAAAATTTTAAAATTATTTGATATTTTATTACATAAGTTTAAATTAATGTATATTCATAAAAAAAATATTATATATTTATTTAAATTTATATAATAAAGTATCAAATAATTTTTAAATTTAGATTGACAAGAGGAACTTACATTGTTTAAGCAAATAATCAAGGTTTGAGACTTAATTCTTACGATTAAGATAGATTATTCTCTTACATTGTTTAAGCAAATAATCAAGGTTTGAGACTTAATTCTTACGATTAAGATAAATTATTTATATGTTCGATAAAGAACACTTTGTAAAAATTTATAATTTTGATCTATGTTAAATCTTCAAAATTTTAATATATAATATAAGTTATTAAGTAAAATATTTATATTAAATTTATTATATATTTCAATATATATCCTTGGAATACATGCTTTCCACTTTTTTTAATAAATAAATATTTTTATCATAAATTATATTTTAGATGTATAACAAATAATTTATTGTGATGCAATATTATTTTTAATTATCAATAATTTTTAAAATATTAAAATTTAATATAAAATAAAAATAATAAATTAAAAAAGATAACCAGTTAAGAAAAAACTCTAAAGTCACCCCCTTCAAAGAAAAAACAACTAAAAATACTTTTATTAAAAAAATCCGTAAAAATATTTTTGTTAAAGACAATTAATTATTCTCATGTATATATAAATACAATAGTCAATCATTTTGAAAATAACAATATAAATATTCAAATAAAAATAGATTTACTATTTCTTATAATATTAATGAACAGTAAAAACGAGTCTGGTGAATAAAGAAAATTATAGTAGATATAACGTTTAATAAAAAAAAATATTTTTGAAATGCATACTAAGTTTAGCATTTATTTCCAAGTTTATAATAATGTGACCAGGATAGTTGGAAAAAGAAAAACCCATATTTTGTTTTTTGAACCAATCACATGGCAAATTTTAAGCTATAGGTAATAAACTTGAAAAAAAATGTGTTAAATATTTTGTAACCAAAACAGTGATGAGACATGTGAAAGAGAAATATATATTTTGATTAAGGAATCTGATGCATGGCCGGCACCTAGTTGTAGAAAGAGACACAGACACGCATCGCTGTATCAGTGTTTGAGACCACCACGGCATTGCTTCAATCTCAATCCCTCTTGCCAAACCACTCTTCCTTTTGTCTCTTTGCTCCTTACCTTTCACACTACCCTGCCTCCTCTCTTTGACCAACACTTAAAGGCACCAACACTTGTCAATATTTCATACTAGTATCAATCATATCAACCAACATGTAACAAATGAATCAACTTATGTATTATATTCCCTTTATTGGGGCATTCTATTAACATTTTAAAATCATGCAATCCTACAAAAAAAATTATAAGAAAATATATACAGTTGCTGAAATTATTATGGAGTTTTAGTGAAATTATGGTAATGATGATGTCTTCTTCCTTTGAAATTGGATACATTCTATCTCAACCCAACCCATGCAACCATAAGATTCTCAGTTTTCTTGAGCTCCTTAAATTTAATCATTAATTAGAATGTAAGAAATTGCACACCTTTGGTAAATTATTGAAGGCAATTTGAATTGCCAGCCCTACACTTCAAATTTTAGGAGACTTGAATTTTCAACACTATGTGACAGTTATAAAATTAACATTCAGTTGACTTAAAATTAGAAAGAACTCGTGAAAGCATGGTGTGTGGAGTGGCATAATCCTTATTCAATTGCTCTTATCCATGAGTTTTGAGACATTTAACAAAATTAAAACACTCTTTCTGAACCAATTCAAATATTTCTTTCAGTTGATGGTTAAACATGGTTATTTGGTATGATCGGTTGATCCTCTTGCCGAAATTTTAAGCTCTTAAGCCACGTAAAACCAATGTAAGCATCAAACTTGCAAGCCGTCTCCAATAGAGGATTTCTCAATTTCGCACCTAAAATGAATTTGTAGATAGAGAAGATTTGATTCCCTACCATGTAACAAGATGAACTAAATTAATTTATCATAAAAAATTACTGGGATGCAAACAAAAGTTACACATCGTTCAAACAAGAGAATAAACATATGTTTATATACACATAATTGTCTCTATTGGTTGAGAGACCTTTTAGGTAGTATTTAAAAGTAAAACCATAAAGGTTAAATCCAAAACGTACAGACAATATCTTACTAATATAGAGACATGTGTGTGTAGTAATTCCCGCTATACAATAAAAATAAGTTTGAGTTTCTAGTTTAGCATACATGAAAGTGATTAGCAAATGGGACACCGTGAAGGGTCATAATTTCATTCACAGTCCAAACTCCAACCTCCAATGTTTGCATTTAAAAGCGACTTTTGAGCCTTACGTATGGCAGACTTTATCAAACTAATTATTATATTCACAATCAAACTAAATATTTTATACCCTTTATCATCTCTTTTATTGGGAGCTTAGATGGTGGACCTTTTGGATTATTTTTATAACAATCAACACTTCAAACTAGCAAACATAACATTTACAAAATCTATTGTCGCGCCTTTGACCACTTTAACAAAACAAGCTACAAAATTAGTGTTCACAAATACTACGAAAATTGAAAATTGAAATTAACCTTTATAAGAAACAGTGTAACTAACCACTGCGACTTCCTTTGATATACACTAACAGGAGCTGTTTACTTACATTACATAAAAGCCATCTTTTTTCTCTATAAACAAATAAAACCAAATTAAGCTAAATCCTCCTTCTCAATGCTTGCCAAATAAATACAAAAGCATTGAATAGAAGAATCAAATTTACATTGAAGTTCAAAGTAACATCAAATGGCATAGATTGGATTTACTTCTGGCTCATCAGAATCGGAATCCGTCTTAGATATCTTGTCTTTCTTCCTCACTCTTCGGGAGCGTTTGTATTTGACCACATAGTATGTCATGGTACCAAGAACACCACCCATTACGATGACCCCTACAACGGTAACAAGAATTGCAGCCCAAGGACTGTGCCGACCAACTACTATATAAGATGCTGTAATGAACGAAACTGAGGTGCACACAGAGGCTAACCACATCATCTTGTTGATCACCTCCACAACTTTTCTCTCAGCCTTTAACTCCCCTCTAACAACTGTGATTTGAACCACAACCACAGCTAATGATGTGAATAGTGCAATGGCATTGGATATGAAGAAGGCTTGGAAAGACGCTGTGTGTGCCATCACTGCCACCCCATTTTCATAGTCCCCACCAGGAACTGTGAAAATTGCTGCAAATGCAACTGCTGCAAATAGCACAGCAACCACCGTTACTGAGTTGGCAGCATTGTTGATTCCAGCTTTGTGCAACTTCTTTAGCTCATGGGCAATCCCACTCACGTTCTTGTTTGTTCTACGAGTTTGTTCCAGCTGAAAATAAACATCTTTCCTGATCTGCGTCATGGTTTTCCTTAGCTCATCCCTTGGTTGGTTCAGATCATTGGCTTTAACTGCACCGTAACGAATCAGACACTCTTTGATCTCCAGAATTTCCTCGGATATTGGAAGCCCCTCCGCAAGGTCAAGAGCTGTCTTGTGGTCTTTTGTCAAGGTATTTACATTGGTGTCGGGAAGAAGTAACAGCTCATTCACTATCTGCATATAGTAGTAAAGTGTGTATTGAAAACTAAAACTCTTTTCAACATATCTTTCACAAATAATTAAAATTTATGCAAGTCTTATTAACAAAAAAGAAAAATTGTGAAATCAAGGCTGAATTCATATATATTATTTAGTCACACAATTTTCAAAATTTCTCAGATTTTATTATCTTTTTAATTAGTTGTTTGATATCATTAATTAATCACAATAACCTAACACACTGACCATTGACATAATATATTAATTGTTAATATAATATATAAATAATGATGTGATATAATATGTTACATTCATAGTTAGTATGTTATAACAACGGTGAACATTTTACATTAGTAGTTAACTAACAACATCAATGATTATATAATGGAATGATAAATATGTAATTTTGAAAGTTGAAGGAAAATTTGGTGGAATCATGAAATACGAGTGACAAAAGGGGAAATTGAGTCTATTATTTAATAAAATCTACTGTGTATTGAAAATAATAAGTGTTGTTTGTTAGCATTCCTGGTAAAAATACAGGACATGAAGATAGCACACCTCATGGTTTTCCTATTATGAAACTTATCATTATTTAAAGTTTAGCCATTATGATACCTCTACCCTCTTCTTCCTCGTGGCTACATGCAATGCAGTTTTGCCAAACTTGTCGGGAAGCATGACAATGGCTGCATCCGCAGCAAGAATCAGCTTCACCACTTCACAACTAACCCCTTTGACAGCCATGTGTAGTGCAGTTTGCCCTTTCTTATCAGTTCTTCGAGCAAGTTGTGGATCCTTCTTGAGAAGTATCTTTACAACATTTACATGTCCCTGGCGTGCAGCTAAATGGAGTGCATTCTTTCCATTGGACCTAGTCAGCTCCAACTGAGTAGGATCCCGAGACAACAACTCCTCAACAACATCTGCATGCCCTCGTGTAGCTGCAGATATTAGAGGAGTTGCATTTGACTGCGCAAACGTTTTAATCATCCCAGGCTCATGGTCTAGTAGCACCTGCACAATGGCTGCCACAATAAAATATACAGTTGTAATGTTACGTTTTCATTCCCCTGAAATGCTAGCAACACATCATATATAACATATTCACATCCTTTTCTTCATGGGAAATTTTATGGTATCCAAAAATAAAGGGTTTTGGCATTGTTAATAACTCTCCTTTTTATTTTTCTAGGTGTCTAAACTAATATATAAGTAAATCAATCAACTAATGCATGGTTTTGTTACATAAAATGTACGTACGTACCAAGATGACCCTGGCTAGCGGCAATGTGCAAGGGGTTGAAACCGGAGCGGTTTTTGACGGAAAGAGCCTCGGCGGTGGCATAAGGGAGGAGCTCCTTGACGACGTCGAGGTGGCCCTTCTCGGCGGCGGTGAAGAGCGCGGTTTCTCCCAAGTCGTTGACCTCGTTGAAGATGGCGGACCTAAAGTGGGCAACCTCGGCGTCGAACTCGAAGGTGCCCATCATGAGGGAGTCGATCTCGGCGAGGACGGTGCGGACGGAGGCGGCGTCGCCGCGCTGGGCGGCGAGGTGGAGGTGGGTGTCGTTGTGGCGGCCGGTGACCTGCTTGACATACTTCTTGCGGGGAGTGTCGGGGCGCTTGGCGGAGTTGGAGAGGAGGAGGGCCTTGCCGGAGGTGGAGAGGAAGAAGGTGGACCTGGGAGTTGTGGGCGTGGAGGGGTCGGAGAGAGGGGTGCGTTGATCCATTATGGCCCACACCAACGACGGAGGTGGTGGAGCTGCCTACCCCTTTCCACAATTCTCTCAACACCAACACTGCCTTCTTTTTTCTTTGCACCATTAGCGGAAACTCCCTTCTTAAATATCCTTCGTTTGTTACTTTCTTCCATACCCATTATCCACTCATATACACATCCTTACTTTCTAATACATCTTTCATTACGCCCATCGACATAATCATTCAAATCAACAAAATTATATATATGCATGCATATATAGTAAATAAGTATGTATATATTTTCGTTTGAATGTAAATGCATGAAAAAAATAGTTTTTATGTAGTAAATTAGTTGTGAGAGGAAAAAAATTGTTCAAAAATAATCATAAAGATATATGAATATTAACTAAGAAAGAGAATATAAGGATAATATATATATATAAACGAAGTATTAAGACTTTTTTTTTGTAAACAACTTTTTTTGTAAACTAATTAAAAAATTGGTTCAAAACAGACGAAATTATGTATCCCAAACTATCTAAATCATCAAAGTTAAAAAAAAAAAAAAAAATCATCATCAGAGTTCTTTTATTGGTTAAAAAAAATAAAAGAAAGGACTTGTAAATCCAAAACTTAAAAAAAAATGCGGCCCAGCCCGTCGCATCAAATACTGATCTGGACGGATGTGGATCTTGAAGCCCCTAAGAAAAAGCCCACACGGTATTAGTAGGTGTGGAGTCGTGGACGGGACATAAGTCCACAACAGGTTTTGATGGATTTTGCATTTTGGATGTAACATGTTATGCTTGCATATTAAGAAAAGAAAAAGGCGGACGATATACACACCACCATTTTTTTTATAAACACATTCCCTTTTTTTTAAAAAAATATAATAAATTTTTAAATTATCCTTAATATTTTTCTAACTTATAATTTTTTAGATTCACACCTCTCTTCTTTCTATTCTTCTTTCTTCTTTGTGCACTTCGTTTCTTCTTCTTCACTTTCTTCTCCGCATCTCCCTACCTCCCCTTCTTTCCTTTTCAATTTCTGCATTATCCTCTTTTTTTTTTGGTTTTGTTATAAGCTGTAAGTGGGTTCAGTGTCGAAGGAAAAAGTGTCAAACCATATGCATTTTTTTCTCCAAGTAATTCTGTTCCGAAAAGTGTTTTCTAGAATAATAAAACTTTTACTCCAGAAAGTAGTACATTTAGGGATAGTAAATTTTTTATTCCAGAAAGCATTTTCTAGAAGTGTGCTTGTTACATAATTCTGAAAAATATTTTCAAGAATACTAAATTTAATGTTTCAGAAAGAACTTTCCAAAATTATATAAGAAACACGCTTTCAGAAAATTCTTTGCGGAACAATAATTTTACTATTACGGAGAGTACTTTTCGAAATGCTAAGATTAACGTTTTAAAATTTATTTTACGGAAGTATGAGAATTTTAAATTATCAGTGTTTCTTTGTCTCCGTCATCCACTGTCGTCGTCTACCAATGCCAAAAATTTAACCAACTATATATTCTTGTTGTGCATAAGTAATATTAAATAAGTTAAGAAAATTATAAATATAAAATGAAATTTAATATATTAATTTGTACCTTGCATTGAATGTAGAAAATAATAAAGATTGAGTGAAAATTAGCGTTTAAAGAATGATAGAGTAGAAAGTGAAAAATAAAATTTAAAAGATACAAAGATAAAATATGATTATGTTGATTGAAAAATAAGAAAAATCAAGAACGAAAAACAAAAAAAGAATAAAATTATCATAGAGTGACTAGAGTGATGAAAAAGGAGAAGGAAAATGAGAAGAAGATAAAAAATGATGAAAGAAGAGAGTGAATGAAAAATTATTTTAAAAACAAAATTTAAAATAAGAATTTAATTAGAAAGATATTTTAATAATTTTATTTTTAGAAAAGAGATTGGAAGTGTATTTATAAAAGATAGGAGGTGTAGATATCATCACCCAAAGAAAAAATAAATACGAAAAAGCCCATAGGCCATAGACAGGCCTAATCCATTGTCAACTAGCTAGCTAATTAAACTGCCAACTAATATCAAGTCAAGATAGAAAATGCTTAAAACAATCTTAATGTTCTAAGCATTCAATTTTAAATGGAGGCTTGAATTGAACGCTTCTCACGTGTGGTTTATAATGTACCACAATATTTCACTGTTAGATTAATTTAATTTACAATTCAATAAGGTGCACATTTTACACACTTCTTTCTCCCACACTATTAGATAAGATCCTCTATGGTCATTCTTAAATACAGTTTATTATTGTCTTGGTTACGTTTTCATGCTCCACACACAAATTCAAATATAGTTTTTTCATCTCTTCTCCCCTTTCTTGTTCTTTGTCCTCTCTGCCACTGCCATAGTTAGCCACTGCAAATTTGTCACCGTCCACAGCTTCCTCTTGTGTCACCAGCGAGTCATATGGAAGTGTTCATATTTTTAACGTCTCACTTTCCTACCGAGGTATATATAGACTCAAAGGACAATGAAATATCCTTTTGAAGCCAAAAAAAACCATAGGTTCGCATTAAATTAAAATATGTATTGTGGAAAACTCATAAGCTATATCATTAAAACCTAGAAACTGAAAAAATAAGATGTGTTAGAAACTGTTCTTAGCAAGATAAACTCGGATGAAATATTTATTTCATAAGATTGTTCTTCTCTCTTATTTCTAAAAGTTAGAATGAATCTTATTGTTTAGTGTTGATACATACCAAAAAATACTCTACGATCAAGTTAATTTAGGTCTTTCTGTATATTTATTTATTTATTTATATAATGTGTATCTCCTAATTGTATTAATTGTATCTGTCCATTTTCCTTATTTTTGAAATCATAACAGTTGACATATGAGTTAAGTTAACATGTTAACACGTAAACTTGGTCTATGAATTCGGCATATCATTTTTATAATGTTTGTTCTTACTGGAAATCTGCTGTAGAGCTGATCCGCCAGGTAAGATGGGTGAGCCTCCTTCACTGGTACGTTGATGCTCCAAGATGGGGGTGGTACCTGCAAAAGAGACTCCGATGCCAAAGTTAGTGTTTGTGTGAGTATTAGTCTCGTATAAGTAATGCACGTACCTAGGTGTGAATTAGGGTTGCTTTGGGCCTTGGGCCTGAGATGAGGTGTAATATGATTAGATAACGGACCTCGTCCGAGGCGAGATCCTCGGGGATCAGTTATGATTCGCTTAATTACCGAGCTGATGTCACGCGGTGCGTGTCCGAGGTCGACTTGCGTTATGGTGCCGAGCTCGAAGCTCGGCTACGCAGTACGGATAGTACAATGTTCAATTAGTTTTATGTCGTCAACGTAATAGTAACATAAAATATATGATCGAGCATACATTATCAAACGAAGTTAATTTGTATATTAAGTGCATGACTGAATTTACATTATCGTCGAGCTTGGTACAAAATTTAACTAAAAAACTTAAAACTTATAAATTAATTAATTGAAATAAAAGAGTTGAATAATATTAATTGATAAATTAATGAATGAATATAAAATTGCATAAAATATATTTAGTTATTTTAGGTAAAATGAAAATTTAAATAAATTAATGAAAAAAAATAGTAGCTTTATAAGTTAACTTATTTTCATAAGCTTGTGAAAATAAATTAATAATTATTAAAACAAGCTTGCATATACTAAATAAATTAATTTTGACCAAATTATTTTATGAAATTTTCTACCGTCTTCCCAAAAACAGACCTTATATAGTTTTATTGGATAATTTTGACTTTGTATATCATTTATCTGTATTTTAATTTTTATCGTTTTCTTGTATGATATCATGAATACTTTCTTAAAATCAAAGAAGGGAACAAAGTTACCGACTTTTATATATCGTACAAATTCTTTTTATTGTTAATTATGCTATTCAAGTTGAACTATCAAACCGCACTCTTCTAGACACCACGATTTAAAACCCTTTATTTTTTTGTACATTTATTTTAGACGTTTGAAATTTGAGTTGGGTGTAGGTGCTTAGTTGAAAAATAAATTTGCGGCTGACAAAAAAAATATTTTTTCAATAACTCATAATATACGTTAAATTTTAATAATATTTAAATTAAATTTTTTTAATATATAAATAAAATTTACAAGTTTTTAAAAATTATATAATATTTTATTATAAAATTCAAATTAACTTATAAAGAAGATGATTATATCATTTTGTTAATCATCGTAGAATTGGTACAATTAATAGTATATGACTAAAGGTATATGGATTCACATAAAATCTAAACATTTTTTATTAAAATATGAATAATTTAATTGTATTTTTATTTTTATTATATATATATCAAAGTTTGAACTTAAAAACATCTACATATTATTCTAAATCTTTACGGCTAGACCAATCTAGTAATTTTTTTATAAGATTAATTTTGAGAAGTTATTATTATTATTTATTAATTTTTCTTAATCTATATAAAACAATTTAAAATGACACTTATTATAAGACGAATATATTACAAGTTGTTTATAATTTGATATATTTAATCCATAACCTTTTTATTATAGTGTGTTAAGAAACATTTTTTTTAATACTTACTTTATTGTTAGTTATAATTTATTGAAAATTATAAATTTTGTGAGTTTTTTATATCATTTAATAAGACTATCTTTTCATCTAGTAGTAGGACTCATCAAAATTTATAATTGTTAACCCATAAAAAAAATAGAATGTTAAAATAAGTGTTGTTAATATTTTTGTATAATTTATTAATATAAGAAAATTATCATTATTTTTTAATAGGGCTACATTAACGTCTACTTATTTAACTTTCATATCATCCAATTTAACCACATAACATAGTCAATTTAAACACACGAAATAAAAGCGACTGACAACAAATGCCAATATAATTATTTGATGATATTATTAGAATATAAAATTTCAACACTTAAAGCCATTCGGAATTCCAAAATTTCATTATTCTTGTGCAGTTAATGACTGTGGAAGTTTAGGATACGGAGATGTGTTAGTTGGAATAATTGCAGAGCAAATAGGTGAAATCGTAATTGGAAAGGACCGGTGTTGAGACTTGAGATAGATAAACGTGGCAGATATTAAGTCATTAGAGTGAAGAAAATACTCTACCCCTTTCTGTCGACCAACATGCACCAGTCAATGCTAAAAACTTTACTACCTTTATTTAATGCAATTCTTTTTATATAGATTATGTTATTATTTCTTTATCTATTTTATTTCATTTAATATTTCTTGAAATTTCAAAAAGTATATATATTATACCTAATAGACTCGTAGGTTTCAAGCATAATTATTGACTCGATCTAACTTATTAGGCTATCATATTAAATTAGTTCAATTCTTTATTGAACTACATGTTTTTTTAAATATATTCAGCTATACCAATTTTCACACTTCTAATTAAAAATATTTTAGAAAAGTCTAAGTTGAGAAAATTACTGCGATTCCCATAAATTTACACATTAAAGTTATAAAAATAATAATTTTTTTGTACACTTTTAAAATGTATGTTTAAGAGTGTATTTGGTTTTGCGTCATTTATGCACATCAATCTTATTTTTTTCACGTCAAATTGATATTTTAAACAGATATTAAAGTGAGTTATTTTCAGATTGACGTTAAAAATAACATCAGGAATTACATCCAAACATACACTAATTCTGCCTACATGTTTATACACTTTTATTAGTGGGATCGAATTCTAAATATACGAGCAATCACTTAAAGAACTCGGTGTTACTTTAAATTAGAAAAAAAATAAAAATAAAATAGGTTTTTTTTAATCTCTTAGACTTGCTATGTATCGTTCAACTAATTTATGGAATATCATTTCAATCAAACTCATTGATAAACATAATTCAACTATGTATTTATGTGTCAATCTTGTTAATAATTAGATTATATATTTTATGATTGATGACATAAACTTAATTGAATATTTATATCATCAAGATGATATGTTGAGTTCATATACCAAATTGATGTATCAATATATCAATTCAACACACAAGGTAATTATAATGAAAAATAGGTATGTATTATATGAATAAAAAATTATATAGAATAATCTAAACTAACTTGGTCTTCGGCATTTTTTTTATATATATACTAACACTATTTAAAATAAAAAGAGGAAAAGATTCAATCTAATATTTGAAAATGAAACAAAGGGACAATTTTATGAGATAAACAATTTACCCGGATTTATCTTCAAAATCATTAATTTTGTAGAACATAAGTAATTGACATAATTAACTTGTAATTGAATGTTTAGTAGAACATGTTCTAAATATAAATCGATTTTGAAAAGTGCAAGGGACGACGTCGTGAATCTCCCATCCTTGAGGGACTTCTAAATCGAACATGATACATATCCGTGTCAAAATAAATAAATAAATAATCTATCATACAACAATCAACTATCAATTTAATTAACATTACAATGAAAAATTAAAATGTATAAAGGGTAAACACCTTTGTTATGAGAAAGGATGGTACATCAACAACTATATTTAAATAAAATCATATGGTTATTTGCTAAAATCTAAGCACTACATAGAAAAAACTGAGTTTAAGGCTTTGATAAGGCACAAGGTCTACATCTTTAGTACTTAACCTTTATACCTTTTATGCTTAAGGATGGTGGAAAGGTATACCCTCCCGACCTTTTGTCAAGAAGGTTTATACGAGAAAGTATTTTAACTTATCTCTGTACCATTCATGCTTGAAATTGGTAAACAAGTATCATTCCAGATTTTTACTAAGAGGACATAATCGAGTGACTAGTGGAGTACTTTATCACTTTTATCCCTACTTATAAAATAAGCTAGTATTTATCTGACTTAAAATCTATATTTGCCATGAAATCTAGTAATTAATAACCATAATTAAACACAAAAATATGATACTTAACGACAGACATATTTTCACAAAATCATGAGATTTTTAAGACTCACAAAAATATAACAATTAATTATAAAATTCTTATATTTTAGAGTAAACAAAACTTATCTTTCAAATGTTTTAAACTTGGATGATATTTAAGTTTTTCCTATTGTGTTTTTTATACCGGAACAAATTTAAATTTTATATATTTGGAAATTGGAGATTAAGTTACATCCATTCAAGCATTTCCTCTATTTGTCACCTCTCGATGTTCTTCAATCCCGTTCACAACTATTTATTAAAAGGTCCATCTCACGTCATCTGACATTTGTTCGGCCGTTGCTTCAAATAAATACGTGCTTTATTATTATTATTATTTTATTTCCTTTTTGCATGGCAATCGCGATCATAATAATGATTAATCACTATCTTTCTCAATCCACTGACCCAAAAACATTTTCCATTCACAAAAAGTAGCGGTTGTTGAACACTAAACTCTTCTCTTTTCTTCTTTTGTTTATGAGCCTTGTACTCATTCTCAATTTGCTATTTATAAATCAAAGGAAAAAGAGGTGAATGACATAGAGGGGGATATGAAAAAATAAAAATAAAAAATGAATAGAACGAAAAAAATACAATTTTTTTAAAAATTATAATTTTTTTAAAATTTAAAAACTTATATTTAATCAACAATTTATACGGAAAAAAATAGAATGTTAATCAATAATTTAAACTGTTAGGAATATTTTTGTTGTTGTTAAATGTCAATTAAATATTTTAAAATAATATAAAATCATGTAGAGGGGTATAAAAGCGGACCGCGAGTTCCTTTCAACGATTTTTTCTCTCACCTAACACTTGAATGAAACGAACTTTATATTATTCCATTTTTGAGTAAATTTTTTATATAAAAAAAAACAACGATTTATAATTTGTGAATTATTAAGACTGAAGAACGTTTACAAGGCATAAAAATAAAATAAAAAAATACAATTTTTTTTTAAAATAGTATAATGAAGTTGCATAAACATTATGAAGATTAATAAACTATAGTTTTGCAAGAATAACATTATAAAGGTAAGTAAGAAAAAAGATGTAAATACAATCTTTAATTTACTTTTTGCATTGACAATTTGCATTTTAAGTTTTTAAGCGCATTTTTTCATTCGGACATATCACCTTCCCGTGAACACGCGTGGAGAAGATATATTCAGTTAGTCACAGTTTTCACACTTCATTGAAAGACTCCTGCTGACTCTGGATTATTTTATTTCATGTTTCAATCACAATTTTTTTTATCGGAAAATAATTATTTGAGTTATATATAACTATTTTGCAGATAAAATTTTCACTCTACGTATTTAACCAATCTACATATTTAAGATTCGAACACAATATTATTGATTAAACTTAATTAATATTGTGTAAATGTGTGAACCTTCTAACTTGTATTCAATAGTATGTGAAAAGAAGAAAAAAAAAATACAAAAAAGGGTTTAAAAGAGAAGTAAAATAAAAAAGTAAATGTAATAAGTTAATATGATTTTTTTTGTATATACGTAATAATAATCAATATGATAAGGAAAGAAGAGGAAAAATAAAAGAAAACTATGATAGAAATTATATGAAAGAAAGATTGAGTGTATACTAATAATATCGGAGTACATGTATGCTGTAATAGCATACATTTTTTATCCATGTAAAAATATGTTCCAAGTGACGGTCGATAACTAATATTTTTGAGACATAAATATTATTAAAATAGATTTTCTTTGATGCGGTCACTAAAATATATAGTTAGGTTTAGACTATAGTTATAACCCGTAATAAATAATATTACAACAATAGTGAATGATAATAATTAAATTAAAGATAATTATATATATATATATATATAATTTTAAAAACTATATAAATATTACATAAAAGATAAAGATTACTTGAAAAAATTAAAACCATTTTTTAATCTTAGATTGCGAATATATATGTGGAAAAAGAAGAAGAAGAAGCACAATCATCGGTGTACACTTGACATTTTTTCTATAAGAGATGGAAAAAATATATGATAAGTCGTGGGATTAAAAAATTAATTAGAATACACACAAAATTGTAATTTTTTTAAACACATTACTTAATTACAATATTTTATTTTTGCAATAATTAATTTTTAAAAAATATATCTAAGATTATTTTTAATTAATTAATTGGCCGTGTAAAACTATTTATACAATCTCTGTTTATTTGTATGTACAAATGGAGTGAGAAAAAATGGATAACAAGCAAATTAATATCAAATTTCTTTGTTTCAGATAATAAGCAAATATATTTCCGTGGGACTCAACACGGGAAACATTTCCAAATTTGCATGAGACAAGCTAATAGAAATGATAGCTCTGTTTTATTTAAATTTAATATTAAATATTACTGTCTAATATTTAACAGTAATATATTTGTACTAATTTTATAACACGGAATACTTTGAATGCAGATTTATCTAATAAATTTATCGTAATAATTTGGTAGCTTTTAATAAATTTGACTACTTACTTAACTATGAAGACTCAAGAGAGAAGAGTTAACCTTATTTAATAAATGTATTGTGATTTGATAGTTTTGATTAGATTTTAAGTAACAGAGTTACAGAGAGGTATGAGCGGTACTTGTTGATCCGGTAAAAAAGTATGAAATAGGCAAATAACGAATTTATCCGTTTACAGATGAAATCCGGAAAGAAAGAGCAGAAAGGTATAAAGTAGGAGATGAAGTCATGGTTACGTGTACCACACGCACAAAACTGACAAAGAACGCTATCTATTTTGTTGGCTATGTCAAAACTCTATACTTAATTTGTACAGCACTCACTTAACTTAACTCCAACGCCGGTGAGGGGACGAAGTTACCGATGAGGACGCCGTTCCAAAAAAGAAGAGGTTAGCCACGTAATTTTCAACATCCTCAGGGGTAAACGTAACGTACTCCGTCACCGTCAAGTCCCTCACTGATCCCACCGTGGCAAGCACCGCATCGTACCACTCGCGATATCTCGGCACTATACTTCTCGCGATCGAGCCCTTTATTTCGTCTCGCATGTCTCTGTCAGCCACCACGAACGAGTTCTGCTTCCGATACGCTTCCTCGAATTTCGCGTTGAACTTCTCAAACACCTCTCTCGCCTCCGCCGCGCCAGGATTTACCGTCAGCGACGAAACAACTTCTCCCCACGCCACCTTCTCGTAGTTCGCAACGAACCTTTTCGCTTTCGCTTCGTGCTTCGCGATCCAATCGTCGCCAAGCACGTACTGCAGGTTCGAGCTTCGGACTCTGGCCACCACGTACCAGAGATTGTTCGCCAGAAACAGGTACGACAGCGAAACGTCCTTGCAATGCCTTGCTTTGCCGTCCAGCTTGCACAGCAGTACGAGAATCAGCCACGCCACGCGAGCCGTCAGCGCCGGCGTCGACGCCGAGTAATCCGATTCTGGACTGTATAAATAAGATTCCGGCAGCGACGACGAACGCGGCGGCGGAAGCCAGTCCGCGCGCGGGAATATGTCGGAGAGGACGTTCACGTAATCGGCGAGAATCGCGAGGTAATTCATCGTCTGAATCGTGAGCCAGTGCACGCCGCCGCCGTTCAGCGCCAACTTGGAAGAGTCTTTGTGGATCGTGGACTCGAACTCCGCGAGCGAGTTTTGCGCGGAATCGGTGAGTCGTTGAAGCGAGGCGAGGACTTGAGAGCGAACGGCGGAGGTGTAGTCGGAGGAGAAAATAGACTCGATCTCCGGCCAGAGCTCGGAAACGACGGCGTGCATGTCGAGCACGCGGAAGAGCTTCTCCGGTGAGTATTTCTTTGTTTTGGCGACGAGTTCGGGGAATCCGAAGAGGAGAGAGGCAGCGTCTCTTGAAATTTCGGCGAAGCATGATTCTCTGATGGAATCTGAGTAACCGAAGACGTGGTCGCAGAGGATTCTCTCTCCGTTGAAGAGCGTTCTAACTGAAATCCTGGCCGCCTCTAACCAACTCTTGATCTTGAAATCAAGAACCTCCGAGTCCATCTTGTTGGCGCGGGAGGAGCTTAATTTCTCGACGCCGAGGCGGTAGATTCCTTCGTCGATGATGGATTTACGGATGATGATGTAGACGCTGACGCATTCTTTGGCGTAGCCGGAAGAGAGCATGCAGTGGGCGATTAGTTTGAGATCGGCGACGGCGGCGGAGGAAACCTGCTCGACCTCGGAGATGGAGTCTGCGGCGGCGCGGATGTCGTCGTCTTCGTCGTCGCAGTCGGAGGCGCTGGAGGTGGCGGAGGTGCGGGAGGATCTGGCGGAGAGGGATTCGGGGTCGAGGTGAGCGCGGTTGGTGGATAGGATCTGGTAGAACTCTTTCTTGAGGCGCTTCATGGCGATCTGCATTAGGTTTTGAGCGAGGACGAGTTTGTGGGAGGAAGGGTTTGTGGAGATTAAGGAATGCATGGTGTTCTGAAGTTGGTTAACGCAGTTTATGTAGTTTTTGGCTTCGGTCTTGTCCTCGTAGAAGAGGGAAGTGACTTTAGCGTATGCGGAAGTGTCTGCGTTCCATTTCAGTATGAGTGACTCCGCCTCCTCCATGAAGCTATCTTCCTCCGAATAGCTGAGCCGCGGAGGCGTTGGGGTTGACTTTGAGCTTGAGGGAGAATTGCGCTCCATGGCAAACGACGGCGTTTTGGGGTTGAAACACAACTTTCTCATTTTTGGTTGGATGTTAGAAGTGGAGTTAAGTGTATATATATATATAGAAGAAGAAGCGGGGTTGCTTCTTCTTCTTGATGAGCCCACATGCATAATACTCGGTCGTGAACAGGAGCTCATCTCTTCCTTCTTCCAATTTGAGTTAGTGGGTTCACATTCCTTGCAAGATAGTACATTCATATTCATGCTTGATGGTGATGTTGATTATTTCTGGCAACCAATTTCAAGGAAAGAGATCCAACAGCGCACCCCAGTCCACACAAGCGTGCCACGCAAGAATACTTCAACTCAACCAAACAATTAATAAATATCAAATACGACTTTTTATTTAATTTATAATTCAACGAGAGGAATTTAATTGCAAATTAAATTACTAGTTACTTCTGAGTCATATTTGACGTATAAGAAGTAACTCTTCATGTCTTAAAATTAAAACGCTTCTGCATTTGCCATTTTCATCGTGAATCCTTGTCACCTCGCAACGTAATATTAACACAGTCTATGTTTTCATTTATTTTGGATACATGGAGGGGAAGATAAATGAAGTGGAAGGAAAAGTAGTTCTTCTGTTTGGCAGAATACCACAACATATTGTAAATTATGTCCTCTCAATAAAATAAAATAAAATCTCTTAAATTATTTCTTCCCCGTATTGAATTAGAATAATTATTTTTTAATATAAAAATTAGAAGTCTTTTTAATAATTTTTTTTATAAAAAAAATCTTAACACACATCTTATTTCTTTTTATATTCTTCTTATTTTTATTTATAAATTAAATTTTAATATTTTTTAAATTAATAGTGCAATATAAATTATTTATAAAAAAATAAAATATAATTTATATGCTCAAATATATTTATTTATTACATATATATTTTATTTATAAATATAATGAACAGATAACTTGTATATATTTAAAAATATTTAAAGCGCTAATCATAACATTTATGTACCAGAAAAATATATTTAAAAATATTTATTTATTATTAAATTTTAATCATATAAAATAAACATAATTATAAACTATAATGATAGTTTTGCAAAATGACCTGTTATGTTTTTTTGTCTCTCACATATCCCTTTTACGACAAATGTAAACTGTCTATTATTTTTTCAGTATAATAATTGTTTTTATAGTACAAAATTAATTTTCTACTCTTCGTATATATATACCACCAAATTCTTCTCTCAATCTTAATCACAGAGTTAGAGGAGGGGGGAAATCAGGAAATGGGGTTTCCTACAATCAGCTAGCGACGTAGACAAAAAGTAAACAAAACAGAAATTTAAAAAATAACTGTGCAAATAAAATCATTTTAATGGCTTAAAGTTCAAAGTTAGCATCAGCAACAGACAATATATAATAATTTACAAAGCCTGTTCCTCTCGTATCCATGCATTAGCATCACGTAAGCAGGTACACTACCAGAAAAACGTTAGAATAGTTATTGTGCCAAACCTCAAGATATTATTACTGTGAAATATAAATGGAAAATTCTTGGTTCAAAATTATCTTGATTCACCCTCGTGTAAGAAATTTTCAAATCATTTGGTTCTTTACTCTTTCTTCAATGTAAAAAATTAATCAATCAAATAATAGATGATAAATGTATTAATTTAAAGATAAATAACAAAAGTTTTCTATACGATAATTTTTCATGAATATAAGAAAACTATCATTCCTTGTCTACTTTTCCAATATTTTTGTATTTCCTAATTTTTTTTTGGCATATACACGGAGTATATCACAAACATTTGTCAGGACAATTTTAACGAAAATCAATCTCATACATAAAATACGAATACCTATTTTCTCAATTTTTAGTGACTTTTTTGTGAGAAATTTTTTTAAAAAGTTAACTTTATTTTTAATTTAATTTTTATTTATCATAATTATTTACAAATTAAATTATAATATTTTAAATAAATAAAAATGATTTTATGCTATAATATAAATTATATATCATAAACTTAAAATATAACTTATATATTAAAAATATCTTTATTCAGCATTTAAATATAATTTATATATTTAAATATAATATTTATTTATATACATAATGTATTTAAATTTTAATTATATAATAAATATTTAACATATTCATTACACATGTACTAAAATATTAACTAATTCTTTTAGTTGTATTCTCTTTTCGAGACTAAAATTTGAAACTTTTATTTGATAAATTTAAGTATAATTTTACCTAAATCAATATATAATGTTGTTATATATGTTATATCCTTTTTAATATTAATTATACTAGTATATACAATCAATAATTATTAATTATTAATTATAGCATAATTGTGCGATATATAATACCTTTAACATATTTTATCACAAACTACAAATTAACTTTAATCAATCAACTGAATTATTTAATTTGATTCAATTGATTGATTTAACGTACTATTCTACTCATATATGAAAATTATTAATAAATAATTTTCCTAATAATCAATAATATATAAAATGTATGTAATAACATTCATTTTTTCATATTAACACTGAGCCCAAATTAATTAATTAAATCATTTAAATTATGCTTATTTGCAACAATTATTTACGTAAATCATTAATAAATTAATTTATTTTTAAAAAAATATTTTAAGTAATAAATAATAATAATAATAATATAAAATTATGCTAACTTTAACTTGAGTTACATCCACATCTTTAATCTATCTCTTTATAATTTTATTAATAAAATAATATTCACTTGTTACTTATCAGAATATTTATTTCTTGAATTTTCTTTTCAATTTCTAAAAAAATCATATATTTTCATAATCATTAATGAATAAAAATATAAAAATAAAATTAACACTTTATAAAAATCATAAAGGATTTTATAAAATAAATGACCATTTTCTTTTAAGGTGAATCTTAGACGAGTACAATGAAAAACAAGTAGACAACTTTTGATAATGACCAAAGAAAGAGAAAGTACGATATGATTAAAGTTAAATTATACTTTTAATTTTTTTATTTTTAAAATTTATTTATCTTTTATTTTTTAAAATATTCACTTTAATTTTTTAATTTTAAAAGATAAAAAAACTACAACTTATTATATATATATATATTATAGAAAGATTTATAATTATCCATAATAAATTAACACAATAGCTATAGATTTGACTCTCCTTTCTTCTTTGCGCACTTTCCTGGCAGAATAATGTCATCTTTGAAAATTTGATAATTAAGTTACATAGTTACATCATTAATTTAGATATGATACATGTCATAAATAATGAATTTTATAAAGTAAAAGTCATATCCTAAACGCTTTTGCTAGTAACTTAGAAAACTGACCGCGAGGAACATCAGTCTATGCTTTCCCATTAAATAATAATAATAAAATTATAGCACGCAGTTATCTGAATTTAGTCCGAACAATTTTTAAGAGTAATAAATAAATGTTGTTTCGTCGATAAAAAAAAATTCTATTAAAAATAATCAGTCTGATTTACTTTTTTTTTACAAAATTAATCATCAATAAAATTAACAAATATTTTATACTAAAAAAGACTAATAATGTAATTGATATGTCATACGGGTGCATTTTTCTTATTTCCTCAAGAAAAAAATGTAAGCAGAGATATACAGGAGCAGCTAAGTCAACCAAATGTGGGGCAAGTTAAATAATCTTTTTTTTTTTTTTTCCCTCACAATCTACTGAAGCCGTGATCAAAATAAATACAAGAATCTTATTCTTCATGAAGACCCGCATTAAAGAGAATGAGCGAGGTCTTGTGCCCGATTAGTCATTTTTATATTTTTCGTCCCTTATATTATGTATTAATTTAATTTCATAATAATTAATTAAATCAATTTAATCTCACATTTTTAAAATATATTTTAATTTTAATTTTTTTATTTTTTCTGTTTAAATACTTAACAGATTTGAAATATGTCATGATATATGATGACATGACATGTATTATGCTATCATATCACATGTCAGGCCATGTGTCATGTCACATAACATGATAGCATGACATGTAGTATGTTATGTGTCACATCCGTTAAATATTTAAACGGAAGAAATAATCAAATATTGAGATACATTTTAAAGATGTAAAATTAAATTAATTTAATTAATTAAAGTTAGACTTAATTGACACTAATAAATAATATAAGGGACTAAAATTATATTTTTGCCTTTTTATTATTACTAGAAAGTGTAATCATCTCTCACCAAATTGTCCTATTTAAGAATAAATCTAGGTTAAATGATTTATTAAAAACGCAAGTGATCCAATCTTATTTCATATTTATATTTCTAGCACGAAACTCTTTCTTTCTTAAGTTACGAACACGTTCGTGGAGAGTTAGCGTTCCCATTAGTTACTTGCTGAATTGTCGATTGAGTTGTGCGATGAATTCATCCGACAAGGCCTAGATGCATGCATCCAAGTATCTCACAGATGGGATGTGAGGGGGTAGATCAAATCATCTAAAGTCTAAAGATTCAATTCTAGGTTGTTCTAACTGAAAAAGCTCGATGAGTCACCGACCAAGTTTTACACGTGTCCCAAGAGTCATGAGCCAAGATGGCTTGATTAGCCCACTCTCTTGATCACCGACCGAGTGGTTCAAATCCTAAGGATCTTTACTCTCTCTACCATAAAATTAAACTTGAGTGTATATATGACACTCTACTTCCTTCGTACCGAAGCATGCAACGCACTCCACTCAAGTAAAGCCAAGTCGCTATGAAGTTGATATGTAAATAACTATCAATAGTGACGGTCTAATATCACATACCAGAGCCTGAGCCAGGCAAAAACAGAGAATAATTAATTACATATTTGTATGATAATAATATGCATGGACGTTAATTGAGTCCCTTTCATCTTCGTTGAAAGCAGGGAGCGTAGACATCTCTTGCAAGATGCAAACACTTTGTTCGGATAATTATACTATCTGACAAAGTTAAATTCTGTTAGCTAAAGTGTATTTTCTTAGCGTGAAATAAAGTGAATAATATTATTTTAAATAATTAATTATAAAATAATAAAATTATATCCTTTTTTGATAATTAGAGTTATCAAAATTAGTGTAACTAGATGACTTAGTGGACCAAACTAAACTTAATTGGACTCTTCATTTTTAGGTCATTCAAAAATATAAAGTTATTTTGAGTTAATTT